AGAGGGGGAATCTCAAGCAGGCTCCACACTGTCAGCATGAGCCCAATGCAGGTTTGAACTCACGAATGGTGAGATCATGACTAGAGCCAAGATCAAGAGTCAGACACTTAACCAAGTCAGGTGCCCCACAGGTTGCACAGGATTCTGACTGGCAGAGAAGAATAGCAGGGAGGGACATCTCAGGACAGTCATTGTGCAGGTCACGTGCCAGGCTCCAAGGGCAAAGGGGTCTGTGGAGACCAGGAAAGGAGAGAAAAGAGTTTGTCTAGCAGTATCAAAATCACTAAAGTAAGGGGGTGGGGAGCGGCTCCTAGCTGGCTCAGATGGTGGAGCATATAACTCTTGATCTCAGGGTTGTAAGTTCAAGCCCCACATTGGGTGTAGAGATTACTTAAAAAAATAAAATGTAGGAAAAAAAAACAAACAAACCACTAAAGCAGGGCTCTGTTTCTTTGGGCACAAGCATTACTAGTGGCCAGAAAATATACCAAGCTGTTAGACCTCAGGTGAACAGGAGGGCAGCCACTCATCCAAGTTGGCCAGACTTTTCTTAGTCTTAGCATTGGAAGTCTCATATCCCAGAAAATGCTCAGTTCTGTGCAAATCAGGATGACTGATCATCTGAAGCCATAGTAACCCCACATCCCTACCCACTCATGGCTCCTAGCTGCAACAGGACATAATAGAGCAAGAATTCTTAACTTAGGTTGTATACTGGAGTCACCTGGGGAGCTTTCATAATACCTTGGTCCCAATCTCAGAGATTTTATGGAATGAAGTATGGCCTGGATATTGGGATTTTGCAAGCTTCCAGGTAATTCTAATGTGCACCCAAGGTTGAGAACCTATATATGCAGTAGAGGACAGCAATGCTTCACAGGTGCTGAAAGACACAAAAAGTCACTGAGGGCTAGCAAGAGGGCTGGACTGGGAGTATGGAGCGCCTCAGGAGCCTATGTGAAAGGAGAGAGGGGGTGTTCCAGTTGAAGGAACTATGGGGTCCTGGCTTGGGAGCGGAGCCAGTCATTGGGGGGATTCCGTAAGGGCAGTAATCCAGCTCCCAGGGGCTGAAGAGCAGGGGCCTGTTCACTTCCCAGTTCTGTCAACTGGTAAAACTACAGTTTGGGTTTTCCCTTGGGAGCTCTGGCCCAAGGAAGCACAGAGCCTGGGGAAAATCAGACCTCTAGCTTATGCAGACTCCACCCCATTTTCCAGCAGATGGTTACTCTTCTCTTGCTTGTCCTCTGCCCTGGACCTGAGAAAATATGAAAATGCTTCCAGAGGAGGCTATAACCTAAACCTGTGCACACATCCTAAAATTTCCAGTCCTGGAGGGGGCTGGCGTGGTAGTCCCAAGCCATGCTGTGGACACAGCCTTTTGCCCCCTGAGTGATAGGCACTTCCTGTGCTCTGGTTAAAGAGGTTGGACTCTTTGGGCAAAGTGAAGATAGGAGGAGGAAGAGGAATTTTGGCACTGGCACCCAAGTATGACTGCTTTAATTTACCAGAGGCCTCTCATGGCCCTTAGGATGTAATTCTACAAGACCCTTCACGTCTCCGCTCTGTCCATTGACGTCTTCAGTTCTCTTGGGGCTACTCCTTCCAATCATTTCCAAATCATTGAAATTTGTTAGGTCCTTGAATGCAGTATTTTTTCAAATGTAGGTCAAAGCAACTAGTGGGTCATAAAATTAATTTATTGGAATGAGTTGCAACCAGCACTGAGGGTAAAAGAAAAAATTAGACAGAACTGGAGTGGAATAGAAAGCATTTGTGTGCATTGCACGTAGCCAAGGGAAGTGAGATTTTTCTGTGTGCACATGCGCACGTGTGTGCCATATGTAGTAGTTCTTGATGCATGCTTATCCATCCTTTGTGCACTGAGCACATTTTTTTAAAAAGGTGATTTATTCAGGTACCCGTCTCTGTGCTAGATGGCAAGTTCTGGGAGGGTGAAGACTGTATGCACCAAACATCAAAGGTCGTTATCTGTCATTTGAAAAAGCACTTCAATACTGTGTGTCTGAGTGATACACCTGACTTTAGGCTCCAGCTGTGGATATGTTCTTAGACAAGTTTCTTTTTATTTTTTCCAGTTTTTTTAATCTGAGATTTCAATATACAGAAATGTTAAAAAATAATATAAATGAACAAGCTATATGTCCTCTACATAGATAAATAATTATTATCACTTGTCCATATCTACTTTCTATCCATATACTTTTTTTTTTTCTGAATTATTTGAAAGCAAGCATAGACATAACCTTCATCCCTAAGTAGCATGGCATGTTTCTCTTACAAGTAAGGTTAGTCTCCTACATAATTGCATCACTTTTTAAAAAAAAAATTTTTTTTTAATGTTTTATTTACTTCCAGGAGAGAGAGAGAGAGAGAGACAGTGTGAGCAGGGGAGGGTCAGAGAGAGAGAGAGAGTCACAGACTCTGAAACAGGCTCCAGGCTCTGGGCTGGCAGTCAGCACAGAGCCCGATGCGGGGCTCGAACCCACGAACCACGAGATCATGACCTAAGCAAAAGTCGGACACTTAACCGACTAAGCCACCCAGGCGCCCCCATAATTGCATCACTTTTAACATACCCTAAGTAGCATGGCATGCTTCTCCTACAAGTAAGGTTAGTCTCCTACATAAATGCATCACTTTTAACATACCAAAGAAAAGGAATTTAATTTCCTAATACTATAAAAAATGCAGTCCATATTCAGACTGGGTTACCCCAAGAATGTGTTTTGTAACAATTTTATTTCGAATTAGAAAAAAAAACAAAACAGGGTCACATTGCATTTGCCTTTATGTCTCTTTAGTTTTTTTTCAATCTAGAATTATTCCTTTGCTTTTTGTTTGTTTGTTTGTTACATTGACTTTTGGAGTAGTACAGAACAGTTATCCTTTAGAATTTTTCACAGAATTGGTTCCTGTTTTCCTGTGGTGGTATTTAACTTCCTTCCCAACCCCCTGCATTTCCTCTAAACTGGAACGAGATTTAGAGGCTTGATTAAACATTTTTGGCTAGAAAACCTCATAGGTCATGTCTCCATACTGTATTGCCTCCATTGGCAACTGATGTCCTATTATCCCACCCTAAGTCATGCCGTTTATTCACCTTGTTTAAGGTAGTGACTGCCAGATCTCTCCTACGTAAAGGTATGTTTTCCTTTACTTGCAACAAGTAATTTGTAAGGACGAGAAACTCTAGCACCATGCAAATAATCTATTCCTCTACAGCTTAATGTTTTTAGCAACCATCCATGATCGATTGGGCAAGTTCTTAACCTAAGACTCTGTTTCTTCCTCTGCAATGTGAGGATAATAATGCCTGTTATTTGGATTTACTGTATAATGAGATTTAAAAGTATTACTTAACAGTGCATGTGAAAATGCCGTCATGGTCTGCCGTAATGTTTCCTTTCTTCTGAAGACACCATCCCTCTTTCTTTAAGAAAGTTTTTATTATGTTGGGGCACTTGGGTGGCTCAGTCGGTTAAGTGTCCAACTTTGCCTCAGGTCATGATCTCATAGCTGGTGAGTTTGAGCCCCACGTCAGGCTCTGGCTGACAGCTCAGAGTCTGGATCCTACTTCCGATTCTGTGTTTCCCTCTTGTCTGCCCCTCCCCCACTTGCACTCTGTCTCTGCCTCTCTGTCTCTCTCAAAAATAAACTTAAAAAAAAAAAAAATAGAAGTTCTTATGTTGATCCAGATATGTGATCCAAATTGCTGGCTTCTCCATGACGCTATCTGCCTGGCCACTGTGAAGCACGGTTGACTATCTTCTCTGGCCAGAGTGGAATGAGCATGTGATCTGAACTGGGCTTATCAGAATTGTTCCTTGGGGGTGCGCCTGGGTGGCTTAGTCGGTTAAGCGTCCGACTTTCGCTTAGGTCATGATCTCGCGGTTCGTGGGTTCGAGCCCCGCGTCGGGCTCTGTGCTGACTGCCAGCTCGGAGCCTGGAGCCTGTTTCAGTCTGTGACTCCCTCTCTCTCTGACCCTCCCCTGCTCACGCTGTCTCTCTCTCTCTCTCTCCTAGAAATAAATAAACATTTAAAAAAAAAAAAAAAAAGAATTGTTCCTTGGGAAATTGTGAACCAAGCAGAGGTTGAGAATAGGGTGAGGAAAACCTTCTTTTTCTCCAGGATGACTAAATATGAGGATGGGAATCTGGAAGTGGATTGTTTTTCCTGCCACCTGGAGAATGAAAGCCCTAACCGGTGGAGGAGATCATAGCTCTCTCTCTGAGATCAGGGCAGTAGGTTGTGTGTGGGGGGCCTCTTCCTGGCCTAGTTCCGGTCCTTCCAGCTGGATCTCTGTCCTGAGCCAGCTGAACCAGTAGAGGCCGTCTCTGGTGAACGTTTACAAATTGGGTTCTGAAACTTTGAGAGTTACAATCCTAAACAGTACAGCAGCCTGTCACTTGCCTCTCACGTGATAGGTGATTGGGTAAGTTAGTGGTCCATCCCATCTCGTTTTTAAATATGTTAAGGCTAGAGGAGAAATGAGCAGGTGCCAGACACAATACTGGCTTTTAAAAAATCTTGGAGTTACAAATGCATTTCCTTGGTGAAAGCAGCCTCAAAATGGGGTGGAGGGGGTTCTGTGTGGTGGTGCTGGTGGCTTATCCAGCTCCAAGTGTGGCCACCCTCTACCTGTCTCCCAAAGCTGGAAGCTAGTCCTGCCCTCTCTTTGAAGATTCTTCCCCCAGTCTAAAACCAGCTGCCATGGTGAGAGGTGCAGCCAGCCTTCTTAGGAGAGGGTAGAGAAGAGGAGAGGGCTGGAGGGTGAGGGAGGCGTGAGGGAGATCAGGCCCATGCACAGGACAAAGGCTTGGGAGGCTGCAGGAGTAGGGTGATACGGGGTGAGGGTCCTGGAGAAGGGGAGTGAACTGGCAGGCTCCTGAAGAGTCAGGGGGGCTTGTCATTGGATTGGTCATTGGACCCTTTCAGCTACCCAACAAGAGGAGTTACTATTATTATTCCCGTTTCACAGACGAGAAAACTGACAGGAAGAAGTAACTTACTCAAGGTCACCCTGCTGGTAATGGCAGAACTGGAATTCGAGTTCAGATCTGCCTGGCTCGAGATCACTTCCACCCTCACCTCGTTTGGCGCACGGGTGAGCGAGGTCCACACCGCAAACAGCCCCGGAGGTCAGGTACCCGGGGCCAAGTGCCAGGTGAGCGGCAAGCGAGGCTGCAGGGCCAGTGAGACCCCGCCCTCCGCCTCAGGGCCCCGCAGGCTCAGTGAACTCTGTGGGGAGATTGGCCCATCCTCTCCGTCCAGCCTCTGGACCAACGGAAGCTCTGGATCGAGAGACAAACACTGGAAGGGTTGGATAAGGGGTTGGCCTGGAGGAAAGCCCTGCCCTGGAGCCCCGAAGGTGCCCCAGGAGGGAGGAGAGACCACCGGGGAGGGAGGGGCAGGGAGCGCCTAAAGATTGGGGGTGTGGAGAAGGCTCCCAACCCCCACCTCCAGGCCACCCCTGGGCTGTTGACGACCCACTGCAGTGGGGGGGTGGGGGGGAGGAGATGATCAGATGTGGGTACATTGTTGTTGTTTCCAGAAAATGTCACTGTGAGTTTGGGGCCAGGGAAGAGCCCAGGAGGCTTTTCAGCAGGAAGGAACCTCGGAGCAAACCCGGATGAGTTTGCTGCCCAAGTTCCCACAAATCACCGGTAGGAAAAGGGAGTGAGGCTCCCTGTGACCCTGACAGGGTCCCCCACCATTACAGCCCAGATGTACTTTATGTCGCCCACCTCATTCATCCCCCAGCAGTGGTCAGCTGACTCCAGGGTTGCACGGCCTGGGGAGGGAACAGGGGTGCATTTGGGCCATTGCAGGGTGGCTCAGGAGCTGTCCCAGCAGCAACCTGTTTTGAGGAGCCTCCACTCAAGCTGCTGGTTCCCAGATGCCGATCCTCCAGGCCCCACGGAGCTAGCAGCTCTTTTACTTTTCAATGTCACAGGTCCTTTTTAAATAATATTTAAAATATTTAGTGTGATAGTAGCTGATAGTTTTTGTTTTATTTTGAATGCTTTTTGGCAAAATAAAAAGGTGGTAGTTCTACATCTCTGCCCCCCCCCCCTTTACTCTCCTTTTCTCACACATGCAAATGAGCTTAGCTAGTAGGAAGAATTCACTGGTTCCACTAAATTCCAAACTGAACTAGTGTGGCGTGGGCAGCTGAGGTGGGAGAGGCAGACATGTGGGATTCTGGTCCTTGCCCCAGGGCTAACTGACTGTGGGATCTTGGACCAGTGGTGGGTCTTTCCTGTTCTGTTTCAACAGTACAAAAAGATCTACAAATCTGCTGTCATATTAACATGTCTATGATCCTTTGATTCTAGCCTAGATCAATGCACCCCTCAAGTTGTATGTCTGTGGGGCGCAGTCATCCAGTCCCAGTGCCAAGGGATGTTCTGAAAGGTCCTTCTCACTGGAGAGCAGCTGGGGGTGAGGGCACGTGGGCACAGTTAGGACTGGGGTATGCTTTGCCCTGAAGTAAGCCAGGTAGGGGAGAGGAAAGCATGCACCCTGTGACGTGTTTATGTGTCTCTCACCCTGCAGTTACCAAGAGCCTGCGAATTCCTGTGCTTTCATCCCTGAATCGCCCCCATTGGCCTAAGCTGGTCATGGGGCATCCAGTAAGTGCGGAGGAAATGGAGAGTGGCTGGTGGCTGGGAGGGCTGTGTACAGTGGCCGGGACCAGGCTGAGTTTCACAGGAGAAGTGGGATCTAAATGGCTTTGAGGATCAGAGAGGGGAAGGAGGCTGGAGGAGCTCGGGGACAGCTCTGGTGTCCCAGGAGTGGAAGGGGATCTGTGGGCATGGGGCAGGAACGATGTGGACGTGGGGACTTTCAGAGAGGAAGCATGGGAGGACAAGGAAGGCCAATGAGACAGGGACATAGAGGGAGAGGCTGGCACACGCTCCATGCCAGTGTGTGGTGATGGAGAATGGCTGAAATGGGGAAAACAGGAAGGGCAGTTTTAGACAAATTGAGGTTGGAGCGGGGCAGGCAGGGGACAGACCATCGAAAGACAAGTCCAGTGTCCTCCGTGCCACCCAGAGCATGGGGGTCAAGATGTAGCCATGACTCCTACCAGATAGTTTTAGAGCTAGGACTGCTCTCTGGGCCAACCAACTCCATCATTTGAGAGCAAAGGAGACTGGGGCCCTGAAGTACAAGTGACTCATCAGTGTGTCCTGGAGGGTGAAGGGAGCATCTAAAGGGGAGCTTTGGAGAGAAGGAAGGATTAAATTGTTCAGGTGGGAACAAGAGGAAGTAGTGACAGGAAGGTGAAAGCACGTTAGGATGTTTCCAAACCACTCTGCCAGCACTCAAGGAGGAGTAGCTGTTTACCTGTTTATACACAGCGTGTTTGGGTAGGAGGTGCAGGAGGGCACCCACACTCTGCTCTAGGCCATTAGGCTGGTCCTGCTGTAGTGATCAGCAGTTCCCACAGCCTCAGAGACACTCCTTGCCCCAGCTGCAGTTTGTGGGGTCTGCACTGGGGCATCTCCTGGCATTGGGCATGAGCATGGATGTTCACACAGGATGAGGACCAGAGAGAGTGACCCCTCACACTGAGGGCCTTGTCTTCTGCCCTTCAGACCCCAGCCTTATTATCTCCCTCATTGTCATTCTGAAATCCCTAAAGCTCTTAGCTGTTAGCTGCCTGCCAAGCATAGTGGAGGGGGTCTTTGTAGGTGGGTGATGGTTAACAAAACTGAGCAGTGAGAACTTTAGGGTTAGAAGGGGTTTGGGGATATCCCAGTCCAACCTCCTCATTTTACTGAGGTAGAAATTAAGGACTCTGCTTACCCTAGATCACCCAGTGACTTAGCAGCAAAAAATGTTTTTAGGTCTGCTGAAGAAGTTGTGAGGCTGTAAAGCTTACCCAGGCAAGGAAATCAACATTTCTCAAGCCTCACATATGAGCTAATGTTTCTGCAGGCATTGCCTCCTTCCTCCTGTTCCACTAGAGAAGCCTTCACTTTTCCCTTGAACAGGTGATGCTGACTTTGGAGGACAAGGACATGAAGGGATTCATGTGGGCCGTAGCCCCAGCCTTGACCTCCCTGGGCTACCTGCTCATACTGCTGGTCTCCATCTTTCCCTTCTGGGTGCGGCTTGTAAATGAGGAGTCCCACGAAGTGTTTTTCAGTGGCCTGTTTGAGAACTGCTTCCATATCAAATGCTGGAAGCCTCGACCCTTATCAGGTAAGGAGGGATGGAGGCAGGACACCGCAGAGGGAGATGGGGCCGGTGTGGGGCCTTAGGTGACAGAGGACTGGATGGAGTCAGAGAGGGCAGAATTTAATAACTCCCTAAGGGCATTTTCTGAGTCTCTACTTTTGGGGTTAGAAGAAAGTAGGTGGCCAGGAAAAGACTGATAATATCAAGTCGACCACCATGGTTGGGAGCAAATGTGTCAGCAACAAAATTTATTTCTGGGGTAGGACTGGCTCCATCTATGATGGAGGGGCGGGGGTCCTGCCCTACTCTGCGAGGCTGGATTTCAGCCTCACTTGTCAAATGCCTGTCTGACTGTGGGTGGCTGCTCTGCAGAGAATGTGCTCAGGGCCGAGGACCACATTTTGAAGGGAATGCACAGAAATATGAACTCAGTGGACTATGGACAATGGTTAAACCATTGGTTTAACCCAAGAGTAGATTCTAGAAGTTTAGAGATACCTTTATCTTGGGAGTTTAGCAATACGTTTGTCTTTTTGTCCCACCTCCAGCTGTCCTTCTCTGCATGCTTAGAAGGCTATAAAAACTCATTTTAATGGCAGCTCTTTTTGCCCATGGATTCTGTCCCTGTGCTTTAATAAGATCACTTTTTTTGCACCAAAAAAATTCCCTAAAACAAAGAAACCCTAAAAACCTCATTTTAACACGGATCTGAATAATGCCAATAATAGGGGAATAAATCACCCTGTCATCAAGACCCTTGCTCTGCTATTTTGGGTCTATTTCATGACTTGTGTTAACTGGGATAATTAAATATGCATTCCCAACAGAGTTCAGAACATCCCAACCTCACAAGTTCTGATTTTCCTCTGACGACTTATTTCAGTGTCACCAATATCTATGCAGTTCTTCACATTTCCACATGCAGCTTGTATCATTTATGTTGCTTATTTGAATGACTGTTCATCTAATTGTTTTTTTCCATGCACTTCTGTGTCACATGGAATAAAATGTTGGGACCAGAGCTTTGTTGGGGGCAAAGTGGAGAGGTCGGAGCCGGGGGTCCCAGGCCACACTGGGACTGAAGGTGGTGAGCTGGGGGGCCTTCTCTGCGCAGGCGCTGAGGGGCTCTGTCCCTTGTCGTGGGTCAGGTGTCCAGCTATAGCCCAGCCTCCCCTCCCCCACAGTGTACATCATTCTCGGCCGTATTTTCCTGCTGTCCGCGGTTGTCCTGTCTTTCCTCACCACCTTCATCCTGGTGTCCTTTGCATCGCAGCTGTTGCCGAGGACCCGGAAGCACAATTTGGTGTCAGCCTTCATCAGCTTCCTCACAGGTGTGAAACAGGCAGGCAGGCCTTGTCCTCAGGCAGGCCTCAGCCTTGGGAAGGGGCTGGGAAGGAGCCCAAAGGCAGGGAAATGGTTGATCTCTATTGTGTCAGGAGAGAGAGAATTTTTAGGCCCCTCTCACCTGTGGCCTTCTCTGAGGCAGCGTTCCCTGCC